TTTGCAAGAAAAGAACCAAGCTCAGAGAACCCCAAGGACTCCACCGTTCAACCCTGAGCTATACATATTCACCTCTGTTGGCCTCTCAGCTGACTCAGAAGGATACCACAATTGCTACTATTGAAAATTGCTGAGAGATCAAGGAGGGTCAGAATGGGTACACTACCCCCATCCTGGGCCTATCAGAGGTCATCCAAAAGCACAATCAATGCTATCTCAGTGTTATATCCCAGCCTGAAACCTGACTGTAATCTAATTCCTCCAGAGCCCTTTGAAGCTGTAGGCCTTCCCCAAAACCTTCCCCAAAAGAGGTGATGACCTCTTGCGGAGGGGATACACCATTACCTCCTTCTAGGCAGGTGGAACTGTCCCCTCCCACAGAGAAGCTTTTACCACTCTCTTGATCCAGCTACATGTCTCCTCTGGGAGGCCTTGACCAGCTTGGGTGGGGTGGGGTGGGGGGAGGCAGAGCTCTAATATGGAGATGGCAGCAACTCAACAACTCAAGCATCCTGTCCACTTCCTTGGGAGTAATCAGATCAAACTCAGTCCAGATAAGCAGACAAAACCCAGCCCCATTCACTTCCACAGGATCAGCAGAGCTAGATTCAAGGTCTGAGCAGATCCAAGCAACTATTATCCAACAGATGCTTTGCATAATCCTTATAGCAGCCCCGCAAGGGTTCTTCTAATCCCTCCTTATCAAGAAGGGACTGAGTCACTCAAAACAGGGTCACCAGGTTGCTATCTACGGATGTAATAAGGCAGAGAAATAAGTTCATTTCGCCATCCTTATCACCACAGGGTAGTCCTTAATACAGGCTTGTACCCTGCATGGTTAGACTTTGTCTTCCTCCGGTAGCAGAATTATTAGGTTATATTGTGGGAAACCACCTAATTTTCAATTTATTGAATATTTTTATTTATTTAAAGAGATTTCCCAGAACTGCAGGTATCTGCCTTGGGGAATTAAATGTCCATATTATATATCTATGGGCTTAGTAAGATAGATAATATGACGCTTTTCAGCCTGTGGTGAAGTTATAATGGAATAATGTATTTGAACGGAAAGATGCAAAAAAATTAGCCACCTTGAAGAATTATAGGGCATTTCACTTTAAATAAACAATGTGCAGTTTGTTTTCCTTGCAAGCAAATAAGACAGCATGGGAATTGAGTTGAATGAACTTAATTATTCATATTCAGCTGCTTTTGTTCCTTGTATTGATTTGCTCCTTTTCAGTGTTAAATGAAAGAGTACATCTGGTCATGTATCCTGGCAGAGGGAGATAAACAACATTCTTGTGCTGCTGAACAGCCAACTTGCTTGACATGCAGCAGTGGATTTCAGTGTAGCTGTTCTTTCTTAGGGTTACTAGAAACCAAATGTGCTTTGATATTTCTGATAATAAGCAGAATCAGTTTCTGATGCTTGTGTATCAGGGCTGACCTGAGAAGCAGCTGAGTCATACTTTCCATTTTTATTACACTTTCAGGAGTTGTACTGATACATTTTCATTTTTGACCAAAAGTTGCGAATAGCATTGATTAAAGAACTCAGTCAAACTCACAAAGGTTATGCTATAATTTGACTTAAGTCAACACAAAAATGGGTGTCCTTTGTGAGAGTGAAGAGACCTATTTTCTTCTTCAGAAACCTAGTTTCTGAATCCTATTTTATTTATTTATGAAGAGCTCTACATTAAAAATTTCATATGCATTTTGAACAGAAAAATGCAACACTATGTAAATCTTTTCCCACTTAACCACTGCTGCTGTAAACTCCATTTACTATGTTCTGCTAGGAATAAATGGATAAAAGAATCTTCATCTTTCCTGTTTATTTTTTAAATAGTACATGAATGAATAAAACTTTCTTTTCAAAATATTGGGTGTCCAAAATGATTCCAAATATATATTAAAATTATAATGTAATTTTAATTATATGTAGAAATTTAATAGCTCACATTTTTGTGTGTTTTTTTAATGATGAAAAGTAGAATGCAAATATTTTAAAGGACTTGATTATGCAACTAAGATGTGTTAATTTTTCCAGTACTAATTTCTTTTTGTGTTGGCAAGGATGTACACATTTACCAAAATTCATGGCTAAAGCAGTGGCATATTACGAGATCCCACAGAAAATGAAACAGTGCTGAGTCATGAATCCTTTGGAGGAATCCTTCTTGGAGAATAAGGCAAAGCCTCAGGAGTTTGATAAACCAGCCTTGCCTGGAGAAGTAATGCTGAGATCATTTCTTGAATCAGGAGAATTGACATTTGACTCCAGCCAAGAAGCTGAAGCTTTGATAAGTCACCAGGAGCCCCAAACACATAGAATTTTAGACTCAAAAATTGGCAGATGTAGCAGTGCTCACTTGCAAGGGAGGCTTACGTAAAGTATCAGGTCTAGTCCACAGTAGGCTTTTGTTCCCAAGCAGCCTACTGTGTTGGCTAATGCTTGATAGCCACAGTTTGGGCTGGAGCTGGTTGTGGAAGAAGGAGCATAAACATTTTCAGACAATTGCAAGAACAACATCCAGTACTAACTCAGCTACTCTGCAGTCACTGAATAACTCAGATTCTGCCTGTTGAACTACTGCGTACTTAAACTCCTGGATCTCTTGGATTATATTTTTGCCATCAACCTGGTATAGATTGCCTCTTTTGATTGCTAATTCTTGGACTTTCACTCCTGCTATTTTACCATTTCAGACTGATTTATTATCCTTTTTACCAAACAAGCTCTGGATTGTGCAAGGCTCTTGCCTTTGCGTTTGCCCTTCCAAAAGATTTTAGAACAGGACAGGGCCTCTTTAGGTAGAAACAGAATTGGTCATCATGGTATGGGAAGGTAATCCCTTCAGAAGAGGGATGGGAAGTGGAAAGCAATAGATGGCTAGGCTGAAGTTCACAAGGCCAAGGTTGGGAGAGGGGAAGGAAGGAATGCTCTTGTTTATTGCATGGAATGCATAGGGCAATTCATGAGAAAAAGGAATGGTCTGGTTATATGTAGATCATTGGTTGAACGATGCAGTTCATGTTACAAAGAATGGAACAAGTCTCCAGTGAGGCCTGGCATTAAAAATATACTCAGCACAAATTCAAACTAAATTCAAACTGATTATATAAATTTTGCAACAGGCCATTTAGATTTCTGCCTAACTGGGGTTTATTGCTCTTTGTATAAATCTGAATGTAACAGAGATTTTATAGAGGCAGTTTTTCACCCTGGCATATTTGGCAGCTCTTTTCCTACAATGCCGTACTTTACATTTGGTTTTTCTCATCATCAACGATTAGTCATTTTTCTTTGCTTATTCCATTAATCTTTATTTTAAAAAGATGTTGCTTATTCATAATGGATAAAGATGATATTTGGCAGAACAACAAGACTAAAAGTGTTCTTTATTAGTTTGTCATTATGGGGGAATTCCAGTTTTCTGAATTAAATATGTGATGATACTAGCCCTATACAGAAATATCTTCACCGGTTATTCTTATATGCACTCTGTTGGATGTTTTATAGAATAAGGATGGTTCCTTAAAAAATGTCTTGGGCTTTCTAGACATTCTGCTCAGTTGTGAATGATGTCTTTGTTATTTGCTGTTTTCCCCTTTTAAATAAATAGAAGCAGCAACTTGGGAGTGGGCAAACTGAATCCTTAGGTTTGTGTATTTTTAAACATGTAAATGATGTATGTTTGCACTATTGATTAGCTTGTTACTTATATCTAAGAGAAATATTTTAGGAGAAAAAAAGCATACAACTGAGGTTGATAAAACTTGTAGAAAAGAGCTTACGTTGATGCATTGTGTTTTCAGAGATAAATTCTAGTAATATAAGGAATATTTCGGTTCCTTACTGTAAATGTTGGTGGAGGACTTATTCATCCCCTGTCTCGTGTGTATATGAAATGGAAGATCTGATAACAAAGTGAATTGACAGTACAAAGAAACATGTGACACGCTGAAGGATAATGACATCTGGACCTCTTTTTCAGTTGATTGGGCAGTCATTTGACATTCTGTAGAGCAAGGAATAGCACTTACATACAATACTTCCAATTCTTTATCAATAAAAGATTTGCTATAGAGGTATTTTCACTTCTCAGGGTGGGGTTGCAGAACAATCACATTTGTCTAGAAAAATAGACATAATTGTTGTATTACTTTTTGTTGTATGATCTTGTGTATATACAGGTCTGTGCATTCATTCAGTGGCCATGAAAAAATTAAAAGGCAGTTGTTGGGATGTAGTGGTGAAATTCACATGATTTTCAGATGCCTTCTGTTTACCCCAGACCTATGGCCCACCCTTCTGCTATTTTGCTGTATTCACTGAATGCTTTATAGATGAAATGATGTACAGATCTAGTGTACATCTTGCTTAGTCAATAAGAAAAAGCACGTGATCTATATAGCCTAAGGTTTTGTAATACTTTGAGATAGCATAATGATTATATTTAGTTGCAGAAAAGTTGGCTGCTAGTATTCTTTACATTCTATCTCAATTAGTTTTCTTTCATTTTTAAGGCTATGGTCAGACTGGTCCAAAATTTCAACGAGCGGGTTATGACTCGGTTGCAGCTGCTGTTTCTGGGCTCTTGCATATCACAGGGCCTGAGGTATGTTACTGCAAATACAGTAAAATCCTGTTGCTGAAATTGAAAACTACACTGGTACATATGATAAGGCATGTAGTAATGAACAGAATTAATACAATTTAAGAAATAAACATCAATAGAAATAACATACAGTAAATCTGTAAGACATTTTCTTAGCATGTTTCAATTATATGAGAAGTTGTAAATGTTGCACTGCTCTCAGATTATCAACAATTTGTAAGATTTTGATACTAGGGAAAAATGCTTTCTCAGCCATGAGAATTATTACCAACTTGTACTTATAATCATTTGATTCCTGTATTTGCCCACATATACAGAACAAACTATATTTGTTAGCCAATTTGATATTTATTTATGACAACACATATTTACTACCCTATTTCAAACAGAAGAAAAATAAGATCATCAGAGAATAAGAACACAAGACAGTAAAAACAATACACTTATAAATGCAGGCCAGGTCATCATTTGCGCCAAAAGCCTATTGGAATAGGATGATCTTAGCTGCTTTGCCAGATACAAGCAAGATGGGAACTTCTAATACATCTAGGGGCAAAATATTCCATAATATAGAGCATCCACAGAAAAAGTGCACCTCTGAGATCTCTCACCTTTTATTTCACATGAGGTGGAGACATGAAACAGTCTATCTTAGGACAAACTCACAAGATAGGTTGATTCTGGCCAGAAGAGATGATCTTGCAAGTAGATAGATGCTACTCCCTTTAGGAATTTAAGGCTAAAATCAGCACTTTGAATTGAGTCCATCAGCTTATTGGTAACCAGTGTAGAGATTTCAGCATACCGTTACGAAACCTACTTCCTCCTGTTAGTAGTAGAGTGCTGCATTTTTAGCTAATTGCATATACCTTATCTTCAAGTGTAGCTCCCATTGTAAAGTGTGTTGCGGTAGTCTTAACAAGAAGTAATGAGGACGTGAATTCTTCCTTTTCTTTCAATTACTGTGAATACTTATTGTCTACTAAAATGGGATGAATCAAGGGCTGCTGCAGGCACCAGCATAAATATTTGGGAGCACCAGAGTGCCTGCAGGTCCTGTTTTGGAGCTCCTAAAGCCAGAGTATAGTTGTGACTAATTATATAAGCTAAATTTGTATTTCTCTATACCCCAGAGTTCATTCTTAAGTAAGCCATATCTCTCAGTCTCAATTTTCCATATGCAGAATAAGGACAATAAGATTTTGTTTTGTTTTTCAAAATCTCGTCAGCTGATCTTTATTTTTAAAAAGAAAGATAATTGTAAGAAGTTGCATTTATGTGTCATGACCAGATTTTCTGATCATTCTAATTTTGTCTATTTTCTTTCTATGATTTGGCTATAAATAGCTTGATAAATAATTTTTTAAAGCTACTTATTTTCTGTTGAGGTGATTACTGAGGATAATTTAAGTTTACAATATGATATGGAATGCCAAACAATAGAAAATGTTAACATTATGTTTTCAAGAAAACATTAAAACCCATTCAGTGTTTTATAAATTAGAAATATTAAGAAGAGCAAAGAAAAGCATTATAAAATATTGTCTAGTATCAGGATGGAGACCTAGAATTCTCAGATAATGTTGAACTCTTTCGTTGTTGGCCTTACTGATTGGAGCTTCCCGAACATGTAATTCAGCAACAACTGAAGGACCACATATTCATCATACCTAGACTAACAAAAAATTATTATTGAAAACCATGTGTGAAAACAACATATAAGACAACACTATATTTCTTTTAATTTCTAAGTATATTATGCATTGAAATTGTAAACTTTCCAATATGGGGATTTTTTCCAAATGATTGATAATCTTCTGCCACTATGAAAACGTTTCAGTCCTCATTTAGCTAGAACATTCTCGAAGGTGAAGTTGTGGGCAACAATATGTTGACTTACAATTTAGTCTCTCAACTAGAGATTCTAGTTTACATAAAACAGAATAGCAGAAGCATACATGAGTTAAAACTGGTTGTATTTGTGGCATACTGGTCAAAATGTGCAAAAATGGACTGGAACACTCCTTACCATAATTAGGGAATTCTGCCTGTGGCAGAGGTATGACAAAGGCTGTACCTTAACCCATAACTTCCGTAACCTAATAAAAAGTCTTACTGACCAAATCCTTGATAAGTGGTGGAGATCACTATCTGTGAGTCTGCTGATGACTGTGGCGTATGGAAAGTTGCAACTTGCAATGTAAGATGAGTAAATTGTAAAAAGTATGAATTAATGAATGAAAGAAAAATAGATAATGTTGTGTATCTATGAAAGTAAGAGAAGGAAAAAGGAAGCAATAGATTTTGAATGAAGGTGTCTTGATCTTGTAGATTGGAGTTGATGATTCATACAGGGAAGTGAAGGTGAGATTCAGATATGAGTGAAAGGGCTAAAACACATGTCAGAAGGTATGAATTGATGGCAACTAGGTTATCTTGGGCATGCATGAAAGTAGGAATTCATAGGTTGGTGATAGTTGCATGGAAATAACAAAATAATGAGATATGAGCTTGTGGAAAAATTATGCAATGTTTTGAACAAATATGATCCACAGGAAAACAATACAAGTAGTCCTCATGTAACGACCACAATTGGGACTGGTAACTCTGTCATTAAGTGACATGGTTGTTAAGTGAAGTAACATGTGAATGCTCCAGACTTACAACGTCAGTTCCACTGGAGTCATTAAATGAATTACCCATGGTTGTTAAGCAGGATGTCACCTGACTGTGACTTGTGACTTACTGCCAGCTTCCCCACTGACCTTGCTTGTTGGAAGCCAGTTGTGAAGGTTGCAAATGGCGATCATGTGACTGTGGGATGCTGCAAAAGTCGTAAATGCACACTGGTTGCCAAGCACCCAAATTGTGATCACATGACCATGGGGGTGCTGCGATAGCCAGAAGTTCAAGGACAAGTTGTAATTCTACATTTTCAGCACTGTTATAAGTTTGAACAGTAGCTGAATGAGGCAGTTGTTCATCAAGGACTACTGTACCTGTAGTCAGTTAGGTGACATGAATGGATGGGTGGGAATGAGCTGAGATTACCAAACAAGTGACTGGACCATTCAGACATTCTATAAATTAGAATAGTGACTGGTGTTTAGAAAAAAGTCTATTTGTTTCACATAAGCAGTTAAAGGATAAATCTATTCCACCTACACTTGGTAGAAGAATGAATACAAAATGCATGATAGATTTGATTTTTTATGATGAAAGTTTGAGAGAGTATGCTCAATTCAGGAATATCAGTTTTTGGTAATGCAAAGCTTGGAAGTTGGGGAAGAAATGGAAGAAAAGAAGGGAAATAAGCTAGGGTGAAAATAAAGCAACTACAGGAATAGTATGACTAGAAAGTGACTAGAAGGTGGTTGTGGAAACTGCTTGGAACAGAGTGAAAAATGTTACAGAGTGCTGCAAAAATGTGTGGAATTATGCTAGTGGAAAGTATGATAAAAAAGATGCTTGGTAGAATAATGAAGTAAAATAGGCAGTAGATGAGCAAGAAGTGTATTTTTGTACTCAGATGATGCTGTGTTATGGGTTGAGACCCAAGAATTAGGAGCAAATGTCAGATAGATTATATGACGCAATGAGGAGAATGTCAAAGATCAAGATAATTCTATTTGATAAGGAAAATAGCACGAACAGTTGTGAGTTGTAGATAAATGGCAAAAAACTGGAGCAAATAAGTGAACGTGTATATTTTAGTAGAATGTTTACTAAGGATGGGAAAATGGAATGAGAAATTTTAAGATGCGTAAATTCTGGTAGAATGGTAGTGAATAGTATCTGGCCTATTGTGAGAATGAATGTTTGTCAAGAGAGTTGAAAATGCCTGCATATAAGAGTGGACTTCTGCCCGCTTAATTATATGGAAATGAGCATCAGTTACATAGGAGAAACATAAAAGTTGAATGCAGTGGAAATGCAGTAAACTATGTGCGGTAAAGGAAGGGATAGGGTCAAGTATTAAAGGGTACTGAATGAATGTTAATTGAAAACCAAAATGAGTACAAAAAAGAGTATATTGAGGTTGTTTGATCATATAGAAAGAATAAATGAGAATTGCAAAACAAATATATCAAATAACAGTTAATGTGTTGAAGGAAGGGAAAAATAAAGAATATTGTGGTTGGATGGAACTTATAAGATCTTTGAAAAGAAAGGTGGGAAGTTTACAGAAGAAAAAGAAGTGTATGAAGCAGTGTGTGGATGTGGTGGGCAAACCTATTTGCAATGGCAGAAAGGTATGGAAAGATATAGTGAATGGCGCAGGTGTAAAGTAATTTTAGCTATGCTTCCTTTTCTTATCTGATGCCTTTAATTTCTTTGGTTTACTATTACTCTATTTCTGTGCTTTGCATAACATTGCTTACCCTGAAGGGCATAATGTGACGGGTATGTATGTATGTATGCTGCATATGGTATTTCATTTAGTTATATACTTGCCTGCAAAGCTTTGATCTCTAGCCAACACATTTGGAAAAAGATTAAAGCCAAAGCAGTAGGGCCTGCATTGCCTGAATATGAAAAATGGTGGCACGTTTAGAGAATAAATCCAAGAGAAAATTACTAACAGTATCTAAATCTTTTCCACCTCCTAATTCTTTTAAAATTTCTTACAGTTACAGAAGTATAATTTTATTACCTAAGCTTATTAACTTTCAGTGGTTAACTGAGTATTAACTTATGTGGTTTCAAATATTTATATACCATCATTTTTAATGGATTATTGATCTTGCTTAATTATTATATCCAACATAACCGAAGCAGATGCTTTTGTCTGACACTTGGCCCTTCAGAATGACTCAGGAATGCAACCCAAATGCGCCTGAACGCTGGAAGCAATTTTAAATAATCCCAAGTGACTGTTTGGTGAGCAAAGAGAGGGGCTGAAATTAATAAGAAATTGGTTTCTGAACTGACTTCCTAGATAATGAGTTGGGTGTCAGATTTGGCAGCCTTTTCTGCAAGTATTTGGTTTAATCTCATGGCTCTTGTGCCTAATGAAGCTTGAAAAATATGCATCTATATTTACTATGCAATTTTATATATGCTTGGTTAGAAGTAGTCCATATTTTCAGTGAGACTTACTCTCAGGATTGAAACCACACTCATATTCAGTGCCTTCTTATTGTAACTTTTTCCATCCTCCCGCTATCTTACATCTTCTCATTATAGAAATAGAGTTTATAAACACTTTATGCGCTGTCCCATATAAGTAAATTATTAAAATTTAAGGTTTTTTTCCCTGCAAATATCTAGCTAAAGAAAGTATTTTGTGTGATTTAAGTTGTTACTAGCCAATCGAAATGTGAATTTCAAATGATTCAGGCAGATCATTATTATCCAAATCAACAGATTCCCACATCAGTAATAAACTTAGTGAGGTTGGAGAATATGCCTAGGAAGCTGAACCTTTTGCAGTTGTGCTGGAAGCTTGCATAATGAGTGTGCTCAGAGGCTGATGTCAGCACCTGGCATCTTTGGACAGGGCTTAGTGCTGATGTCAGCCTTGGACCCCTTATATATATTTCTGGCCCAGGATGCCAAGCAGCAGATACAAGAAGCTCTTTAGTTTCTCACTGTGACCTGACTTAGCATCATGTTGAATGCTAGGACTGACTGATGAAGGATGGGGGCACCAGAGAACATGTTGTCCAATTTGGGTGCTTTTTGATGCTTTGCAATATCTTCCAATGGGGTGTGTGTGTGTCACAGAATGCCAGGTAGGAAGGAGCCAAAAATCTTATCTCACCTCTTGTCCAATTTAGTTCTCTGCACTGAATTGCAATATTCTGCATCAACTAACATTAAAAAGATTAGTCAGTATAAGTCCATAGTGTAGCATGTTTGATAATCCAAAGAACGTGAAATAAATGAAAAGTCCAAATAGATCTTCAGTGTATAGATTTTTGAGGGGCTATCTCCCTCCCCCCACAGAAGATGAACCAACTTTTTTGAATAAATCCTGGCACAATCCTGGAATGTGGAAATACGACATTCTCTTTCAGATGCAGTAGAGACAGAGAAGAGAATGCATGCTTAATCTTTCCTGATCCTTCCTCATTCATGTCCTGAAATGACTAAAAATATGGATGTTTTTTTTTCCTGCAAATATCCAGCCAGAGAAGGAATACTGTGCAACTTTGAAGGTTGCTTTTGGAATCTTAACATGTGAATCAGATACTGCATGTGTTTCTTTGCCTAAAATGATTTACCGATGTTTATCTAAACAAAGATACCATCTCAACAGTTGGTGCAAGCATACTGAGAATCACCTTTCATAATACAATGGCTTATTCAGGATGTTACAGCACAGAGCAAGTGGATTGCTTCAGCTTCTTTCTACTAGTTTCAGTCACCGAATGCTTAAACAGCTAGCTTATTTAATCAATTAATTCATTTAGCAAATTTATATAGCTGCCCATCTCACTAAATGTGAAGCTTGCTTCTAAAGAAGTTTCATAGATCTATGTTGTAAGCAGTGTTGTCTGTTTTGTAGCTTAAAGAAGAAAACATTTGGGGAATGGCACAGGTATGATATGTCAATTCTGTCTTTTTGATATTTTCCTTTTAGGGTGGTGAGCCAGTTAGGCCAGGAGTAGCTATGACTGACCTTGCCACAGGACTATATGCATATGGAGCAATTATGGCTGCACTTCTTCAACGACATAAAACAGGGAAAGGAATGCACTTGGATTGCAATCTGCTTTCATCTCAGGTAAAGATTTACTCAATGATTTGGATAATAATAAGCATATCTTGAATAGTTTTTGTCACTTATGAATTTTATTCAAGCTTAAAGCTTGAGTAAAATTATTATGTATAACTATTATGTATAGTAATTAATCCAAAGAAGAATGCTGCCTCCATAGGAATGAAAGCTTTATAGGGTTAACAACTCTAAATGTTTGTGAAGTTATCAAAATGATCATATATGAGAGTTTGGGTCCTAATGATTGTCAGTCTCTTCTTCAAAATAATAGTATTTAGGTATCTTCAGTTGTGGTAAGGAGCCTAATTGAGTTCTGATAAATGGAATCCAAAAAGAACCATTTAGATTTAGGAAAGTTGAGAATAGGAGGACAGAGAACTGGGACTTGTGAAACCTTTGGATGAAGGGTTGGTGTATATTCCCCTCCACCCAGCTCCCTGTATCTTTTTTTAACCTTGTGAGTCTATGATAAAAGTCTGAAAAGAGCTGGCTTAATCTTGTGCTTTCACAAAAGTAAGTTCAATTGAGTTCAGTGGAGCTTTCTTCCAGAATCTAGCAAGTGCCTCCATTTATGAATATTGTAAATAATTGTGTAACTGTCCTTTCTCTGCTTACGAACTCATACATTTTAAAGATGTCATGTCCAATTTGATACTTTTTCTAAATCTATAAGGGTGGACATGTCGGGTAGAGTGATAATCACAAACACTCCTATTTGTGCAGAGCGCAGCAAAAACTCCAGGA